AGTGAATATTTTAGTGGAAATCTCGCCAAACAAATGTAAATTCGCTTAGTCTGCAGGTTTGTTGCCACTGGGTATTTAGATATACAATAAATAGCAAAAGCAAGCATTAAACTGTGATTTGACGATTTAGACGTACACATTGCTTTTAGAAACATAATTTAACACATTTATTTAGTAAAAATTGTATTTCTTTTGTTGCTGGTAAATGGTTAGAAACTATTACGTGACCTAGTACGAAATATAAAGAGGTGCCAGTGCATGTATGAAAATACTGTTACTATATGATTTAATTTGTAAAAGATTCGCTTAAATTGTATGATACTGGAATTAATAGTAAAATCATCGATGTATTCTATTATGGTGCTCCAAAAACATACAAAAACTGTCATAGATCCTTATTTATTTCCATAATCAATGACACATTTTTGAAAATACAATATAACATCTCAAAACTCCAATTTTTACTGGTATGGTAAAATACCCTCACCACAGCAAACCTGCAGACTAAGCGAATTTCCATTAGCCTGATTGGATTTTGTTTTAATACCATGTATAAATTAATGATAATTCATTAGTTTTAAATCAAAAGTATATTATTTTATTTAGATTCAGTTATAAAGCAAGAACATTAAAAATATTTACAATCTAAGTCAATAAACCAACAGATGTTAATTATAATATCTGCTTAATATTACATTATATAACAGATTTACATTAAAATGCCTCCTTAACACGTTCACTGTGGCCGACGTTCTGGAACGTTCCCTAGCAACGTTCTATTAAAGTTGCTATGGACGACTCAGCATTTCAGGAACACACACAATGTTGTTTCGGCTTGTGGGGACGTACTTTTCCCGCATTTTTTGCAATGTCAGTTTTTAGATAGCATTTTTTTACATTTGTCAAATAAATAAGTAAATAACAAGATTACGTAACGCACATTACTATTTTGAGAAATTATTTACACCCGAATATTTCGCTGTTTGTCGCTACGGAATCAAAATTAGTAATCTTCTTGACCTGATTAGTGCTGCTATCTACGGAAATCTCCGTAACTACGTCCAGGTGATTGAAGAATTAGCTCACAACAGATGGGTGCGCTGATCACAACCATTATATTTCATGTTTGTTTACATTGTGTTCCGAGTTGTTTATTTACATAAGTTGAGTTTGTTTTCATTTGGTTTTAGTGAAAAGTTAATTGCACTATTTGTTTTCGTGATATACTCATAACCACTATGATGTTTTGAACTCATTTCATTACTAGGCCTACATGCAAAGTTCATAAACATGTGGGTCTGAAAGGCCATTTTTGCCCATCCTAGAACTTTCTAGTGACCTATAACTTACCTTTCGGAGTGTGTTATTTGATTTTTACTTTGTTTGGTACAATATGGATATATGTCTAGGTCCCAGTGGGGTAGTTTATCCACTTCGAACACACGCATTGGATGATGACAGTGACTTAAATAACGATGATCCAGACAACCCAGACGACCTAGACAACGACAATGTGGATGATATGGCGTTTGATTTGGTGTCTGAAGATGAAGACCTGAATTATGAAGAAAACCCTCCAAACTGGAGCAACCATTGTGCCATTGGAATGAAAGACATCCCATTCACGAAAGAGGAAGGTTTTCTGGTTCCGTTACCAGAGGGAAAATCACCTATGAGTTTTTTTTATCTACTTGTGGATGACCTTTATTTGGAGAGTATCGTAAAAGCCACAAACAGCTATGCGTTAGGTTTATTTTGTGGTCTGTCGACCCTCCCAGGATCAAGAATATAAGAAGTTCAAAGACTTAACTGTGGAAGAACTGAAGATTTTAATTGCTTAGTTACCAATATGGGAGTTATTGAGTTGCCTCGAATCCAGGACTATTGAAAAAATAACAAACTGTTCAAATCTTGTTTTTCGTCCTTCATGAGCAGGGATCGTTTTCTCATCATTATCCGATGCATAAACTTTGAAGTTTGACCTGATCCAAGTAATCGTGCCAGCAAAGTACAGTTTCTTGTGGACTACTTCAACAACAAAATGAACTGGGTGTATTACCCTTAAAAAAAAAAAAACTATGTGTTGACGAGTCGATGGTAGGCAGTACATAAAGGGTAAAAGACATAAGTACGGAATCAAACTGTACACCTTGTGTGACCCCCATGGATTGATACTGAAGTTCTTTATGTGCTGTGGTGTTTTGGATGATTTTGAAGGGAAAGGGCACGCAGCAAATGTAGTGCTTCATTTGATGCAAAACAAGGTGAACTGTGGACACAGCTTACTCCTGGACAATTTCTATAATAGCTTCTCCCTTGCATCTGCGCTGTTGCGTAAGAATACATACTGTAGGCCTACAGGTACACTAAGACTTGGCAGAAAGTACAATCCAACTGCAGTCTAAAACAAGAAGCTGAAAAAGGGTGAAACAGTATGCTGAGGGGGTCATGGTGGGTAAGTGGAAAGATAAAAGAGTTGTGTCCTACATTTCAACTGAATTTACCAATGAAATGGTTACCTCCCTCAACAGAGTTAGGCTTCAGAGGACAAAACCACTCCCTATCATCCAGTACAATCATTGTATGAAGGGAGTGGATCGTGCCGATCAAATGATGGCATACTACCCCTGTGAGCGAAAATCTATCAGGTGGTACAAAAAGATGTATGCCTACTATCTATGTATTCACCATATAACATCGTTTGGTAAGTCAAATAAAGAAAAAAATTTCAGCATATACCAACGTCAATTACAGCAATTTCAGCAGCAAACGTTTTAAAAATACCACATTTATTCCCTATTTAAATAGAATTAGTTTAACGAGTACTTATGTTTGCTGGAACAGGGAGGGTAAAAAAGTGTTTTTTGTTGGAAATTCTAAATATTTTAGTGAGAAATGAATGTTTTGATCACAATACGTTCTTAAACAAGCAAACAACAACAGTTGACTTATTCTCCATAAAAATAACATGGGTATTTTAAATTTACTATTTTTTGGAATTTTCTCTGTAACCATTAGGCACACAATAACGCTACAATATACTAAATTGTTTGTTTTTTTAAGCTCTACAAAATAAGTTGGAAATAAATTGAAATTTTGTGTTTTTATTTAGGTTCAAAAATGGGAAAACCCTATTTTTACCCCATAAAACCCCCCATAAACTCCCGTTCCCATAGTCCGATCATGATGGTTAGCAAACTCGTTCGAATAAATGTAGGTTTACATGTTTATACAAAATTTCATGAAAATCGGATCTTTTTTGCTTGAGTTATCATGCTAACAGACACACGCACATATATATAAATATATATGAATTTGAACGAATGGTGTTTTTGGCCTCTAGGGACCTCAAAACGCAAAAAGTAAATTGTGACAAAATTTTCCTGAGGGCGTAACGTGGGAAATTACGCCACGTGTACGATAAACGAAGTCCCAGGAATCGCATAAGTCGGGTTGCGGGGATTTCCCCAGGAGTTGATAGTAATTAGGATAACCTCAATTTGATAGCCTTGGTTATCAGAGCTCGGGACGAACGTAGCGGGTTACCAGACACCACACTTATAATCACCAATCTAGTCAGGAGAGTTTGTGGGAACCGATAATTTTAATGGGACTCTGTGGCCAATAACTACTTGAAACTCTACTAGCTACTTAACTAGAAAACCAATATACTAAGTATTCACCCCGCTTGCCTACAGAGTTAGGGTTAACCTGAAACAGACAAAAGTTGGCTTAAGATAGGCCTAGCCTAGCCCCACAGAGTCTGAATTTACAAAACAAAAAAAAGCACAAGCTGGCCCAAGTTGTCCAGATGAGAAACGAAACGAGAAAAACTTAAACTAAAAATAAAACCTTGAGCCTAAAAACGAAAATTAAAACTTCTACTTTCTCACGTGGTGAACTTGAGCAAACTTCGGCAAAACTTGTCCAGCAGAAGCCTGTCTGCTGGGACAAACTTTGGGACGTTAAGGTGACCTTTAAACGGACTTAAAACTTAAAGTAAGGTCTCAACGTAAACTTCAGGACGTAACATTAAAGAATGAAACACCAACTTTGACTTCCCTACTCGTTTAGGTACAATAGTTGGTTGAAATATCGGCTGACTAGGTCTGTGAGTCAGGACTAGCCTTCGAAATTAGACAAAGTTATATCAACTAAAAACTAGTAAAATGATGTACGAAAACCTAAGTGGTTTATTACAAAGCTCACCCAAACTACGTAGATTATTATCTAACCAAAACACTTCACATTAGCTGGAAGAACTTCAGCTTCACGAATATTGCCTAGCGAACGTAATGATTTTTCACGAGTCGACCAAAACACTTCCAAACAAAGACGAACGAACGAATCTCTGAAAGCCGGTAATCAGAATGACCATTCTTCACTCTCCTCAGTTCACCTCCATCACAATTCAAGACGAAGGTTAACTCGCTCGCTGATTGGCTAGCAGAACCGAAGTCAGCTGAGACCCGTGCCGGCGAAGGCAGGCGCATGACAGCTTCAAAAACCTCTCAGAAGGTGGCTTGCCCACCTTTTTCCTCCCGGAGCCTGTCCCAAAAGTCGTCAAACAACCAACTGACACTGACGTCTGCGGTCGTGGAATTAGAGGTTAGGTATGATGTCAGTTTAGTGTCGCGACTAGGCTTCTGCAACAGCCAATATTTGGCTGTTTAATTCTCGTGGTAATAACAAATACGAATATTTAACCCCCCTACACATTTAGCCCGTTACAAAATCGGCCCCGGGTCCAAGTCTTACCATGAGTACTACGGTAATAGCTTATTCCCTATATGGGAAATTAGCTAAAAGTAAACTGAAAGGTGTAAATTGTCGCCAATTGTGGCCACCCCCAGCAACTTTGTCTTCACGACAGAGTGGCACGAAAAAAAGTCGCCAAGTGTGGCCCTAGTCTAAGGCTCTTAGAAAACTCTATAGAAAACTGCAATTGCTCAGCACTATCGTCAGTGTTAACAAAACGGTACCGGTAGAGGTTTACTTACCTGATTTTAAATTTTTCCCTTCACATATTAAGGCTTCCATTTCTATGTTACCCTCCAATGTCAAAACGGAACCTTTACCTGGAATAAGAAAATTGTTTTAAAAAACAATACTGTAAATAGTTCAGTCTCATCATAGAACTGATTTGCCTATTTTAGTAAATAGAGTGACTAAGTCTGTTTAGTTCGTGACTACTACAAGGTTTTAAAATATGTCCCAATAATGGTTGTGATGTGAAGTACCTTGGCTACTTATTATTATACTACTGTCATTGACTTATTCACCTAAAAGTGTAATAGTGTCTTTTTTACATTATAACTTTAGTCTCTGTGTACTAAATTACAAGTTTAGACTGTTATTATTAAAGCACCGGTTCATGAATCAAAAGATTTTGTTCACAAAAGTTGAGGTAACTTTCCTAATTCCAAAAATGGATTAACCAAATTCATACAAACTAAATCATGACTGGCAAAAAATTGAGACATTTATCAATGTGCTGTGCGGTTTGTAAATGGAACCTTCACCAATTTAAAAAAGATTCAGTGATGAAGTATGCCTGACCGCCATAAAATAAACGGTATCAGCAATCTGACACATACTTTATCCCATAAGCCTGTCAACAACCTTTATCATGGGTATGCAGTAGGGAAAAATCACTAAAGTTGCAATAACCTTTGAACTGTAATTGTTACAGCAATGGGGGGTTATCTACAATATGAAGATTTCTACAAACAATGTACAAGGATGTGTTAGCCGAAGTGCTACAATTTTTAGTAAGAAACATGGACTTAACTTTGTGATAATCGCAGAGGAAACCCCTCTTAGGCTAAATAAAACTGGGAAGGGAAGGACATTAAATATGTTTTTCCATAAGTGATTTACTAAAACTTTCATTTGAAGTATTCAACTATTATTCACAGTTAAGGGAAACAGAAAAACCGTATAAATAATATCATCAGGTCTTTTAAATCAGGTAAATATAGTTGACATTATTACAGTAACTAACAAAAAAAAAAGCCAATTGAAACAAATACAATTGTGACAGACAAGTTATGCAGGATATCACGTAGTTCTTAAGTATAATGTGAACAAATGTTATCACTATTTTAAAAAATGAGTAAAATTTTTGAAGAGTGAAACAATATTTTTGGGACAGATGACATTGACCAAGGAATACTCTCAGAGTAGGTATCTAAATAACTATACAGCCCGATGTGTAACTGACTGACTCACTCACTGAGGATACTAATTCTAGACCACTTCTAGATGAGCTAGAGACTTGAAATTTTCGGTGGTTGTAGGTCTAGTGCCCAAACCCCCGGGAAAATTCCAAAAAGTGACATTTTTAAATTTTAACCCCCCCGTAATCTCGAATTTCCCCCCCATGTTATTCTTATGGGAAATAGCATTGAAAATTGCCGACTTTGGTAAGCTCATCTGAACAACTTAGAAACGTGCTAGAGACTTCAAATTTGCGTAGCATTGTAGTATGAGGTCTTACATTACCGGTGGAATATGCAAAAGTCCCATTTTCAAATTTTGACCACCCCAAAAATCCAAAATGGCGGACCTCTGAAAACGACAAAACACGTTTTTTTCAACCGGATGTAGCTCGAAAACAGTAAGAGCTAGAAAAGATTTGAAAGCATATCCAGGAACAGGAATTAAATTTTCTATCAAACCCTCTTGGGCGTTTTCCGAAAATCGCACTCCTTAACCTTCAAAAAACGCCCTACTTTCAAAATTTTGTAAATTTTTTTCAATTTTTTACGGTTTTCGCTATCTTTTCATACTTAAATAATTCTTTTTTACAGATATTATTAGTGCTCTGTATTCTCCGTAATTTACTTTAAATTTTACACATTTAATGTTTTTTTGTATCTTTACTCGTTGACCACCAAAACTTAATTTTAATGTGGAAATTTGAAAGTTTTTACGAGCCCCACGTTATTCTTATGGAGGATAACATTTAAATTTAACGACTTCGTTATGGTCATCTGAATCGTTTACAAACGTGCTAGAGACTTGTTATTTGGTAGTATTGTAGTATGGGATCCTACGTTAAGGGTGAAATTTACAAAAGTCCCATTTTCAAATTTTAACCTCCCCAAAAATCCAAAATGGCGGACATCTAAAAACTATAAAACACGTTTTTTTATCGGCTATAACTAAAAAGCAAGCCAAGATTTGAATGAATTTTCATGGTCACGAAGGAATTCTTAATGTTAATTATAATATTAAAATTCTCCCCTCTGCGGTGATTTACAAAATTTTTAATTTTCAAAATTTAGCAATGGTTTTTTAATTTTATTAAATTTCATAAAACTGTTTTCCTTAATTACCATAAAACAGATTTTTCCTAATACTAGGTATGTCCTAAACAGTAATAGGAAATAGATTACATTGACTTAAAATTGATGTCAGTAAAGCAGTACGTATTTCCCACCAAAGCGACATTATGAGTTGGTTCTCGCTCTTAACTTTGCACTCTGATTTGACTACACCCTTTGGATGGTCGCCTGGATGTAAGACTGTATTTTGTCAATTTTGATGTTGGTTCTCGCTCTGATTTCTGCTACCACATTTGACTACACTTGTGGAGTTAGAGCTTTTCTATTTAACTGTATTTTTCGGTTTTCTCCGTGATTTTGCCTTTGGTCTATTTATCATGGATTTCTCTTGCATTGCTACTGGATCCTTTCATCAAGGGGATTCAAAATTCGCTGACAGTAGCAATGCTCAATGTGTGGCTAATTCGGCCTGTGCTCTCGCTTGGCAAGTGTTCCGCGGGAGTTTCAGTACTCATGCTATTGACGAAATACTCACGGCCGGCGACCGCTTGTATCGGCAATCTCGCCGTGAGTATAACGTTACTAACAGGTACTTGTTCCCCGAGGAACTTGCCAGGCGTTTCGAGATCGCAGGTACCTCGATTACCGTTGAGGAAATATCGTTTGTGTGCAACGGGTTGTACCCGGCTAGTGTGCAGGGTCTTCACGAGGCCGTTAATTCTTTATCATCTGCCTTAGAAATCGCCATGTCCGGTGATTCTCTAGACGGCGGGTATCTATTCACGGGGCAATTGATTACTGTGGCTTTTTGGCGTCACAGAGATCAGTACTATCTCTTCGATTCTCACGGCATGAATGATACCCGTCGAAGAGACATCGATACGGACAAAAACAAGGCTAGACTGTTTCAATGTGTCAGTTTTCGTGTTCTAGCCTCGATGTTATTGGTCAACTCAGCGTTCGTCGGAGGAGAATATAGTATCATGAAACTTAAGTTTGCTATTGATCACTCCGACCAACCTAACGTTGATTTACTACCAAACTCTCCCTCCCAGCAGACAGTATTAAGTCCCAACTTGGCGGGTAAAAAAGGTCCTGGTAGACCTAAAAAAGCCAAGCGTGGGCGTCCAAAAACTTTGGACACTACGAAAGAAGAGCAAGTGCAAGCGGCAAAGAAAAAATACAGGGAGACGCACCCTGATTTAATAAAAGAGAAAAATAAACAGTACTCTCAAGACCATCCAGAGGTCAACAGAGCAGCTGTTGACCGATACAGCCAAAATCACCCTGAGGTGAACAGGGAAGCTGTCGGCCGATACAGCCAAAATCACCCGGAGGTTCACAGGGAAGCTGTCGGCCGTTACACTCAAAACCACCCCGAAGTGCACCGGGAGGCTGTTCGAGATTACGACTTGAGTAATCCTGGAGCGTCTGCCCAAAGAGTTCAGATTTTCCGTTTAAAAAATCCTACGCTCTCTGATATTCGTCACTTGCCAGCTGCACTTGCTCGGAAAATCTCTGAACATGGTCCAATGGGGTCTTGGAAGGGGGAGTTATTGGACGACATTCCTGCTTTCCGTCTTAAAAAAATTTCTCTTTGGAACAGTGAAATTTTCAAATGTACTCACTGTGGTGCCAGGCTTTTTGAGGAGGAAAAGTGTAGGAAGAAGTGGTGTTGTGGTCAAGGGGCATGCAACGTCCTTGATCTTAGTCCTCTTGATGAATCCTTCTATTCGGATCGGCGTTTTCTCGATAGGGCTCGTGCCTACAACGACCTGTTTGCGTTCTGTGCTTTAGAGGTATCTGGTGGGTACAGGCATCCCAGTGGTCTCTCTTTCTTTAAAATCGAAGGGAGAATGTACCACCAGGTCTACAATCTGTCCGACCCTGGTCAAAAGTTTACCACTAAGGCTGGGGACGTTCAGTTTGTGAACCGGTCCCGTCTTTACATCGACGACGGTGAAGAACGGCGGAACATTGCCTTGGGTAGATCACTTGACGGTGACGTTGTTGACTCTATCAATCGATACCTGTCACAGCAGAATCCATACGTCACTCACTATCGGCGTTTGGGTAGTGAGCCAGCTGTGAACGCTCACTTGGATTTCCAAGTGACAAGTAGATCTACCCATGGTCCCGTTCTAGGCGACAGGCAAACAGGCGTTGAGGTGCACGCTGTCATAAGCACCGACGAGACAGTTTACGAGCCCCGCAAGCTATCCGTATGGAAAGTTGGATCCGGAAGACCCACTTCTATCAACCTTTTCAGTCCCCTCATGGAACCCTTCCAGTACCCTCTGCTCTATCCTCAAGGCACTTTGGGCTGGCATATTGGTCGCCGCGACAATTTTAACAACAAATTGTCCCAGTATGATTATTCCCGTTGCCTTCTGCTGTCTGAGCCTCGTTTCTCACACCTCGGCCGACTGTCTCAAGCTTGGCAGGTCGAAATGTATGCCAGATACGAGGACGAGAAGCTCAACTACATCAAGTTCACGCAGACGAAGGCAGCTGAAAATGCCATGAGGATAGGGCCGTTGGATGAGATTGAAGCGGCGAATCGTGGTGGACGTCAGGTCCTCAACGATATTAACAATGACGAGACCGTTCAGGGGGAGGGTGGGGTACAAGCTGGAAAGGTTTACCTCCCAAGTTCGTTTACCGGGGGGCCGAGATACATGAAACTTCGATACGAGAATGCTATGGCATTGGTCTCACGTCTCGGCTTCCCCACATTTTTTCTCACATTCACGTATAGTGCGACTTGGGAGGAGAACAAAAAAGCCTGT